GCCCCCCCCCCCATGTTGTTCTCCGTGCTCATAACAGCTGCCCGCTCAGCATCTCCTGAGGCCCGAGATCTCTGCCCCCATCCAAATGCTCTGAAACGATACCTTGATCCCAGCCATGGCTGGGTGGTGAAAAGCATCTTTGTCTTTGCTAGCGAGCCAGTCAGCTCGCTTCCCCTTGCTACAGGGCAAGGAGGTGTCTGCTGGGAGACTAGTTAGTGTGGGTTTCCGCGAAAGGATAATAATGCTTGTTTCTGGCTAACCATCACACACTAAAAATATTTCAAATCTAATCATTCAGTGTACTGGTGCATTGACACTGTTAATGTTTCTTCGTTGAGAAGATCAGATTGGTTAAGATTCGTTAATAAAGGCTAAACTTGATAACGCTGAGTAATAGTGGTGTTTGCAAATCGTTGCCTCAGTTCTAATATAGAAGAATGTGTAAAAGGGTTGGAATAGAAAAGAAAATAGAGAGCATTATAACTTTCCACTTGTAATTTGTTTTTCTTCCTTGGGTTTGAAAGCTGTCAGCAGTTGACAGTTATGCAGATGATAACCTTAGTGTAACACATGCCTGATGGTTTTATTCATGTCAGCAAAACAGAATAAAATACAGATAAATTGACAAACCTTTACATGAAAACAGATTGTGAGATAGACAGATATCTATATCTATCTATCTCACAATCTCTATGGTGCCTGTTTTTCTATGAGAGAGAATGAACCAAAATACATTTTCAGCTAGTATAGAAATAGATAACATACTTTTTCTAGTGGGCAAACTAAGATTTTTTTATATTGGAATTAACACATGAATGATAGGTACCCACTAGATCATCAGTTTAAACCGGTTTTTATTAGTTTGGCCACATTCAAAGCTGCACCACTTTTAACAAAATAGGTTTAACTATCACATTTAAGTAAAAAACTGGTGCATCTTCTGCATTTAGAAAAGTCTTATATAACAAGTAAGTGTGATGACAGCAGTCAGGCATTTTAAAGAAAATGAACTGCTGTTCTTTGTCTCAGTTTGTAAAAGATCATAAACCACAAAGCTATATAAATGAGTAGAAGAAGTCTAAGATAGATTCAGTGAACAAATAACATAACATTGCTTTTAGTAGCTTATTGGATTTTAATTTAATCTATTCATCTATGTCTTTGTAGTAAATGCTTGCATAATGAAGACCACTGTAGAAAATATTTTTAGTTTGTGTTAGAGATTCTATTCAGATGTTTTCTTGAGTTAGATATCTAGTAATAGATATCTAGTAATAGTTTTAAGCTGAAAAAATGTGCAAATAAGATATGAATTCATTGTTTTTTAAAGTGCTTTGGTCCACTTTTACAAGATGAGTACCACCAATGATGACGAAGTTAAACCTAAACAAGAACCTGAGAAAAAGATATTTTATTGTGAGGTGAGTGGATTTCTTGATGGCTTTTTAAATTGTAGTTTATATAGCATAGATTTGTGTGATCTAGTGATTACATCGAATTTAATTTAACTCCTTAGTTTAAGTGTGTCATGCAGTGCAATATAAAGATCTTCACTTGCTAGCCAATAGGGGTCAAAGTGCATGAAACAGGTAACTTCATTAATGTGGATGATGCTGGTAGCATGCAAGAGAGCCAAAAAGTAAACACAAAATTAGACATGACAGAAGTTGCAATTAAATGTTGGTCTCCTCCCCTCGCGGTGTTGAAAAAATCGAGAGTGTTGAGAGCTTCTAGTTAGGCTCCATATTTACTGTATGAACTTAATACCCTGGTTCTGCTATCTACAAGGAATGTGAATGGTTAACTGGTAAGCCTCACCCTTAATGGGTGAAGTTTACTGGTTTGGGTTAACCATTGGGGGCTGGAGCAGCTTCCCACGTGCTGCGGACAGGGAGTTGCTCCAGCCCTGTGGGGTCTGCCACAGGTGGAGTGCTCCAGCCAGCTGAAGAAGCCCCTCTCCGTGGTGGAGGTGGCTGCTTTAGCCCATCTGTCCACCTCTGTAACCAGTTAAACATTACTTTTAACTGGTTAACCAATTAAACGGGATTTTTCATCCCTACTGCCCACCATGAATTTATTTCTTCAGGTACTGAATTAAAGTAACCTGTGATCAGTGTTAGCACGGTTCATTTCCTCCACATTAGGAAATAGATCTAAGATGGCTTCTCCCCTTTCTGGATTAAGTCATCCATTTAATAATATAGGGTCCTTTTTGATACTTGTACCCAAGTTACTTCAGGAGAAATTGTAGATAATTTGTTCTGTCTCTTTCAAGGGTAAGTATGACTCAGATTCAAAAAGTCCACAGTTGACTTGACTGCAAGATTTCCTCAGCAATGTTTCTGTGAACTCTTGAATATTAGAGAGTCCACGAAGTCATCTTGTGTTCTCCAAACTTTTCGATTTAATCAGATAAGAAGCCAGCACAGAAAGGCTCAAAGGTTTCAGCCTCAAGTTACCCAGAATAGAGTCCTGGTTGTGTATTATTTGTGTAGTATTAGTGTCCATATTGACTACAGAATCCTGTGCTGTCTTTTAAACCTTTCAAAGTGTCAAGCTAAATCCAATAAATTGATTTTCCTAATTTTTGTGAAGTATTTACATGTTTTCTACCCCTCTAATGTAGGGATGCAAGCGACTAGTCACTACCTCTATCGGAAAGAGGAAAGGGTGTTGGGGGGGGGGGGGGAACTGGTTTAAACTGGTTTTCCCCCCTCCCCTCCAGCTCTGTTGGGGGTCAGTGGCGGCATTCCACCTTTGACATGTACAAGAGTCAAGACTCCCCTCTAGCCTCGGATTCCACATGGCGTTTCAATCTTTGAAATGTACAAGAGTCCCTGCTGGGGCTCTTATACAGTTCAAAGGCAGAACACCGTGTGGCACTTCCGCCTTGGAAATGTAGCAAGAGCTGGTCAGCTCCTGCTACATTTCAAAGCGGAAGCATCCTTATCGACTAATGAGTAGTTGATGGAAATTCCATTGACTATTCAATTAATTAATTTAAATTTTAATATCCCTGCTCTGATGGAGTTTCTTGAGTGAGAAATCACCTCTGATAAAATATCTGCATTGGGAGAGAGAGATCTAGCATATGATACGCATCCGGCTGTGGGAGTTTTAGAAGCAATAAACACTAGTCTCAACTGTCCCCTTTTTCTGTTTGTTTGATCTGGTGTTATGAGAGGAGTTCTGCTATCTCTGAAGAGAGCAGGAAATACTGATAGATTTGAGGTCTTCCTTCAGTCATGGTTTTTGTGCTGACTTTATATTGGTGATATTCTGAGATTGTATCACTATAGTGGTATCACAGCCCTTCTTGTTTATAGCTTCTTCTCTATGCTCTTTGTGTCATGTGATCATAGATTCATCAGACTAGAAGGGACCTCGAGAGGTCATCTAGTCCAGTTCCCTGATGATCTATTTCAACACTGACCACCCACCAATACTCCATAGAACAGTGTGAAAACTACCGAATTAAAAAGATGCTGTCAAAAATTAGGAGGTGAAAGGAGAGCAAATCCAAAAATGATTTAATTGGCAGAATTAAAAAAAAAATAGATATGTTTACACAGTTCTGGTACTATTTTTTAGTATCTTCACTTTCCAGATGTCCAAGTAGACTTAATGTGATTAGGTTATGTACTGCTTGTTATCTTGCTTTAAATTTCTCACACAAGCCTTCTTCAAATACATTCTTCACCAGTTTCTTAAATAATAAAATCTAATGAAAAGAACTTAATACATAACTGTAGACCTACTTGCTGTGCTTGCAAAACCCTATTTTTGTGTTAAAGTTGACCGTAGCGTAACCGAATGTAATTAATTTCTTTAGATCTGTAAAGTTCCATGTATGAGTTCTATAAGCCTTCAATCACACTTCCGTGGAGCAAAACATAAAAAGGTAATGTAATATTTTTTTAAAGTCTTAAGAATATCATGCTTCTAAACTTTCTGTAAACTTCTTATAAGTAATTTTTAAAAGGTTTTGAATCTTTAATTATCTGCAATTCAATTGCTTTGTTTCACCATTTTATGTGAAAATGAAATCCCTCAAAAATTCTCCAATGCTGGTATTTTGAGCCTTTTTCAAATATTGTTAACATTGTTAAATACACACAATACACCTCCGTTTTTTGAAACTCAGGTATTCTTGCAATTTAACTTTTAAGTGAAGTTAAAGTATATGTATTTTGAATTGTGTGCTGCAACTGCAAAGTCTGCTTTCTCTTTAATTTAAAAGGAAAATCTGGATTAACTCCCCGGCTACATCTACATTGGCAAGATTTTGCACAAATACTTTTAACGCAAGAGTTTTTGCGTTAAATTATTTGCACAAGAGAGCGTCCACACTGTCATGTGCTTTTGCGCAAAAGCATCTGTGTCAGTGTAGATGCTCTCTTGCGCAAGAAAGCTCCAATGGCCATTTTAGCCATCGGGCTTTCTTGCGCAAGAAAATCATGTTGCCGGTCTACACTGGCCTCTTGTGCAAGAACAGTTGCGCAAGAGGGCTTATTCCTGAGCGGGAGCGTCATAGTTCTTGCGCAAGAAGCACTGATTTCACACATTAGAACGTCAGTGTTCTTGTGCAAGAACTCCCCGTCAGTGTAGACAGGCAGCATGTTTTTACGCAAAGTCAGGCGCTTTTGCTCAAAATCATGCCAATGTAGACACAGCCCTCTGGTTTCATACAACTGGCCAAGTTTGGGGAAAACTTAAGTGTGATTAGAAATAACTAACTTTAGTTACAAAGGACCATTATTTTCAATTTTTACATAAGAGTTTAAATATAATGAACTTAAGTGAAACCAATAATAGGAATGTTGCTGTTGTAATTTGATACCAGTAGGAAGTTACCTACTAGAAAGTATTGTAAATCAGAAAGAGAGGTTTCAAAATGATTAGGCAAATTCTACAGTTCTTGTATGCAGTCTTTTTCAGCTAATGTAAGGTTAGCAATCTTTATACTAATAGAACTTCAATGGCTGGTACTTTCTTCTGCTGTTTCTACCTAGTGTCTTCAGACTGCATTCTTACCTCGTAACAAGAACTGACTCAATGAGGGATGCAATCTTTGATACTTTTAATGACCTTTTCTCCTACCTTTATTATGAGAAGTCAAACATAATATTTTGTAACTCACCTGGTCTCTAGCTGTCTCAGAAGTGTGAGGCTTCAAATTGTTCTTAATTTTGGGTTTTCATCATAGAACAGGCCAAAAAACCTTTAATTTAGAAAAGATTCTCATATCCAGTTGGGAGACTGTCTTTTCTCAAAGAATGGACTTTATGTATTACAGCTTCACAAATTGAATGTCCAACTTAAATGATGTCCTTCACCTCCTTTCCTGGGTTTTAATTTTATTGAGTCAGTTGCTCATTAGTAATGACAAAAATGTTGAAAGTGAAATAAATTGAGATTGCTGTACAGAAAATCTCTTAAATTTGCTGATACAGTATTACTACCACTAAAAAAAATCACTATGAAAGAATAACGCTGAGGGAAAAGATTAAAATACTGAAATAATAAGACTTTCAACTTCCCAGCAGTTACTGATCTGTTACAAATGTCTCATTACTTGAGTATTACTTAAAATGTGATTTTAAAATTGAGCAGTAATGAAATCTGGATGGAGAGGTTAAGATGTTACCTAGACATTATAGGGACCCCAGTTTATTCCACTGTGGACTCAGGTCAGGGTATTACCCTGGTAATTTAGGAACTCGATCATTTCCCGTCCTAGGCTTGGTTCTTATCCGTCCTGGGTTCAGTGTGAAACCTGGTTAGTTTAAATATTCATCCTTAGCTGTCCTGGGCTCAAGGGATTGATCTTCTGCTTAACCTTTTCCTAGTGAAACAGCTTTACATGGTAATATCCTTAACCTATATTGATCAACAGAATACACACACTATGCATACAGTGCTCACCACTCTCAATAAAGAGAACAATTTTTTCTTGTTTGGTGACTGGATCAGATTGTCTGGGGCTCCAGCTTTTGTCTGGTAAGGGTGACAGAAGATGATGGTTTTGACTGCTCTGATATTAGGCTGAGCTCTAGAATTAGGTTCTAGAGAACTTCCTTTTGGATCCCAGTTTATCTAGTTAAAATTTGGGTCCTATCTAGTATACTTTAACCAATCATTTTAAACTAAAGTACTACAAAACAATCCCAGCCCATTATGAAATAACCCTTTAACTAATCCTAGCCTATAACCCCCTATATACAATAGTTGGTTTCAATGTTGTGAAACCAGTTTACACAGCAGAGAGAGACAATTAAAAACTAGACAGGATCATATGGATAAACCATAGGAAAAAAGAGAATTATGGATTTCACAGTTGTAGCTGTTGAGTAGTTTCTTGCCTGACCAAATGTTATCAAACAAAGTTTTCTTTAAACGTCTTGAAATCGGTTTATTTTTCTGGTGATGGTGTGTACTATAAAGACAGGAGCATCTTCTTAGCGGCCAGAAATTCAATCCCTAATACAGTAGACTTCCGATAATCTGGCACCCTTGGGACCGAGGGGGTGCCGGATTATTGGATATGCTGGAGTATTGGGAGGTCCTCCGGCAGGGTGCTGTGACAGATCTTCCGGGACCCGCACTGCGCGGTGGGGGGTCGGCAGGGAACGGCGCGGGGAGGGGCAAACCCTCCTCAGTGTTGCGGGGAGGCGGTGGAAGCCTTGCGCAGCTGGCTTGCATGCAGAGAAACTTGTAAGAGGCGGCGGCAGAGAGGGGGCGAGAGGCAAGCAGCTGTTTAAGGCGGGCGGGCAGGGGTGGAGGGATTGGCGGGGACCACTGTATGCCGAACAGTTGGAGTTTTACTGTACTTTTTAGGCCACTGCTTGTGTGACTATGCTCATGTTTACCTTCAAGCATGTGGTAAAGTTAAACAAATGTCCCTTCACAGGGTTGGGGCTTTAGTGTTCTATTCTAAATACAAGGCTGTTTGACCTACCTTCTTGTATATGTATTGTAATGGATGGTGGAAAGTGGTATTAGTTGCTCTTTTACATCTTAGTGTACTCCTGTCTCTGCACAACTGTTATTTTCAAGTAGCACAAAAGGAAGTTCATTTCAAAACTCCAGTGTAGACGAGAGTATTCAGCTACTAATGGGTCTGTCTGGGTTATCAAAATGAAGAAAAAACATGCCCATTCTTTCTTTGCTTGAACTCTCCTCTTGTCGGTGGTTTGTTTGTGGAATATGGAAGAGCCAGTTTCAGTTTGCTTGAAATGTGAGAGCCACTCGCTGCCTATTTGACACTATACTTCATTTCATTCTAATCGAACTAGTTGTCTAGTTGCATAACTTCTGCTCCCAACCACACTCCTGTCATTTACTCTTCTGGTTTACTCTTTTGGCCCCACTTTAGTTGTCACTAATCCTTAATGCTTTACTTATGAACCATCTTTTTCCCTCATACCCTGCTTGTTTCTAATGTGATAACTCTTTTCTTTCATAAAATCATTAATCATGAAATCAGTACTTTGCTTGCTTTCTAATAACACCCAGTTTTTCCCTGGCTTACCTCCAAAATATGTATTCCTTTGAAAAGCCTTTTCTCTTTTCCCTAGGCAGACCTGTGATGGGCAACAAGAGCAGATTTTGGCTGCTGTGGGAGAGATCACAGTTTTCTTTTTACCCTCCTCCAGTTTGGGGGATAGTGAGCTAACTTGTGGCAGTTGATACTCTGTGTTGACTTACAATATCACAGAAACATAAAACAGGAAGAGATCTCAAGAGGTCATCTAGTTCAGTCCCTTGAACTCATAGCAGGGCTAAATATAATCTAGACTACCCCTGACAAGTGTCTGAAGATTTTTAGGAGCAGGTTAGACAGTGATGGAGATTTTGCAGCAGGAAATGTATTTCACTGCTTAACTTCATTGACAGGAACTTATTCCTTATGTCCATCCCAGATCTCCCTTGCTGAAACTTAAGCCCATTGCCTCTTGTCCTGGTTTCAGATGTTGATGAGAACAATTTACCTGCCTCTTGTAACACTCTTGTGTACTTGAAAACTGTTATCCTGTATCCTACTCTGTCTTCTCTTCTCCAGACTAAGCAAACCCTATTCTTTCAATCTTCCCTCCTAGGTTATGTTTTCTAGATCTTTATGCATTTGTGTAGCAATTTTCTAGACTTTTTACAATTTATCCACATCTTTCCTGAAATATGGTGCCCAGAACTGGACGTAGTACTTCTTGTGTCTTGCTTACAACACTCTTGCTAATACTTCCAGAAACGATGTTAGCTTTTTTCCCCCAACAGTTATAAACTGTGTGCTCATATTCACTGTAATCCCCCAATCACTTTCCACAGTTCTACTACTTAGGCAGTAATTTCCCAGTTTTGTATGTGTGCAATTGATTGTACTTTCTTAGTGGAATACTTCGCATTTGTCCTTATTGCATTTCATCCTATGTACTTCAGACCATTTCTTTGTCCAGATGATTTTGAATTTTAATATTATCCTCCAAAGCACTTGCATCCCCTTCCAGGTTGGTATCCCTTGTAAACTTTATGGCTGTGTCTACACTGGGCCACTTATTCCGGAAAATCAGCCGCTTTTCCGGAATAAGCTGCAAGCTGTCTACACTGGCCCTTGAATTTCCGGAAAAGCACCGACGCTCTCCTGTACAAAACCAGCCGCTATTCCGGAAAAACTATTCTGCTCCCACTCGGGCATAAGTCCTTATTCCGGAACACTGTTCCGGAAAAGGGCCAGTGTAGACAGCCCAGTAGTCTTTTCCGGAAAAAAGCCCCGATCGCGAAAATGGCTTTTCCGGAAAAGCAGCCTGCCAATGTAGACTCTCCTTTTCTGGAAAAACTGAATAGTATTCCATTTTAAGCATTTCCGGAAATTCATGCCAGTGTAGACACAGCCAATAAGTGTGC